CACAGCCCCGGCCCCAGCCTGCAACTGCAGCCCACCCCACCCATGTCACACAAATCCAGGGGCACAGCCCCCCTATGCCCTCCCATGGTGTGCACAGTGGTGGGAGCCTCCCTGCACCCCCGCATCAGCTGTGACTCCATCCTACATCCACCCCACCCCTGCTCGGCCGTGCCTACCCTAGCCCCAACCCCAGCCCCACTCTCTCCCTCACCACAGGGGGCGTTGATCTGCCCCCCCACACCTCTTCCCTCGCACTTCCCCTTTTACCACACCAGACTTACCAGCTGCACGCAGCTTTATTGGAAATCGGATTGGCATCAACCATTATGCCTCCTTAAAAATCGGCTATTGGCCCTCAAAATCTCTATCGGTGAACTCCTAATTTTTAATGTTCAGAGTACCACATGGTTATTATTAGCCAATCATCTCATAATGCAACTATGTAAATATTATCTACATTTCAGACATGGGGAAAATTAGGGCAAATAAGTGATTTGCTCACAGTTACACATAGTAAGCTAGGAGCAGAATTCTGGACTTCCTGTCCTCACTACTAGGCTCATTCCCTCTCATCTGGTTTCATTAAAGAATTCTTCTACCAAAAAATTCCGAAGAGGTGTGAAGGGTGGGAATCAGAAAAGCAGGCCATAGACATTTCCGGAAGTCTAACTTATATGCTTTTGCTTAACTGAATACATCTGTACATAAATAGATGGATGTGTTCACATACATTTCTAAACACAGAGCAAAAGGAACATATTTTTATAAAGACAAATTACATTTATTTCTCAGTGTATTTATTTTTTTTTAATAGTAAGCTTCCATATATGTGGTTATACTAGTCTATTTTAAAATACAACCCAAATGTTTTGCTTGGAAAACTGAATATTGTTGTATAAATTTATGTAAACAGTTTGATTTGGTGGGGGGCTTTTTGTGTTGCAGTTAATTATTGATACACCAACCAGTCCGGTAACAAGTGGACTTCCACTGTTGTTTGTCATCACTGTAACAGCTATTAAACAGGTGAGAATTTTATGAACAAAAATGTAAAATTGAAAGTTGCACAAATGTGTTATGTTAGGATTCCTTTCTTTCTTAACTTTTCCTGTTACTTTGGCTTAGGGTATAGGGAAAAGGAAAAGTCTTTTTTATTTTTTGCATTCTCTGAGGACTTAATTTTTTTATTCTTTGACTCTGTGGTGTATTATGCACAATGCTGTTGTTTTAAAAATGTTGGCTTTCATTTATTCAACAAAACCTTTAAAATGTTTCATAATATAATTTTGTATTTATTGCCACTGTGCACCAAGAAATAGTTTACCCAGTTGAATCAACTGAACTTTAAATTAGTTCACAAATATTTATTCAGCTATATCTTAAAGAATTTTCCTAAAAAAATAGAGATAACATGTTAGCCTGAGGTCAGGCAAAAGGCAGGGCAATGTGGCTTCTTAGTTTCTAAGGGTGCTACTCTGTGTTATGACAATGAAAATGCATAGGTGCAGAATATCAGAATTAAGTTATGGAACAAAACCATGATTCTTATTTGTGAGGAAATGTCATTGATAGTGTTACCGTATGTACAGTCTGCATACATTATTCCCACAAGAAGGGCATTCTAGGTTATTGTGTACTAATTTTTGCTAAAGTTCATTGCCAGTTTATAATGAAACACTTATGGACCTTTTAAATAATTGCTGATTGCACAATATAAGAATCCCTCAAGTTTAATTAAAAAATGATTCTATGAAACTTAAAATAATAATGAAGTGGATACTGGCCATATAATGTATTGGGATCCTCCATAACAAAGGTTGGGCTATTCAAATAGAATAACATTTACGCTCATATGGACTTGTATTGGTCTGGCCTGACATTTTTTCTGATTTCAAATTAGCATTAATTTAAGGGAATGGATTATGGCAATTTGTTGTTTCATGACCCCATTTCTTCAGTGGTGTCAGTTAATACGAACTGCTGCGGCTGTGAAATCCCACTGAAACTCCAACAAAAATACGTGAATGTAAAGATCAATCTTAAATCAAGAATATCTTCAGTAGACTGGGGCCTAAATGAATGTAGCTTTACCATGAAGTTTCTATTTCTTTTTGTCTAATCAGATCAGACTGATGGCTTTTCCTTCTGTAGATCTGCTGTGCAGGATGTTAATACTATAAAGATACTAGAATTTCATATGAGTTAAACATGCCCAACCTGTCCTTTTTCAAACACCCAGGCCACGTCCAGACATGAGTGAACATTTGGTTCCCCAGGGACAACTAGCAGTGTCATACCTTGTGCCTCTGCTGCTTGTCCCTGGGGAACAGCTGTGCCATGTGAGCTCTGGCTCACGGCAAATTACTTCGGGTGAGATAGGGGAAGCTGGGGCCAGTAGTGGGCTGGCCCCAGCAGCCCTACCTGGGGTCCATTACATTAATACTTTTACATCTACATCAGTTCTCTTTTCACTTCTCTATTCACTTTTTACTTCTATTTACTTCTCTATTCACTTCTGGATGTAGTTCATATTGTTGATATTGTTTTATGCTGGGATTTTCAAATGTGCTTAAGAAAAAAATTTCTGTTGAATTTCAGTGACATTTAAGCATCTTGGATCCCTCTTAAAAATCTCAGTCTTAAACACCAAATAGCATAGGTCCTAAATGTCCAAAGAATCATCCCTTTCTTAATTATAAATATTAACATATTTATAATTGACAAAAGGGCTTCCTTTTGAGTTGAAGGTCATGCATCCTGTAGTTTTCTTTGCCTGATGTTGAAAAGCAGTCTGAGGAGTCTGAGTGCTAGTGACACTTGTTTACTTGGGCCTTGACATGTTATATCATTTTTTTAAATTTGTGCATACATTCCCAGATATGTAATGAGTGTGTTTCTAGAAAGTCAAAGATAAAAACAGCTAAGAAATGAATTTCCTAAAAAAAGCTGAAAACCTATGCTTAAATAAAGAGTGATAAGTTGTGACATGCATTGTTAGTAGCTGTTGCTTTTTTTCCAATTGCAATTCATCACAAACAGTATGCTGAATTCTGCCTCTGGATGTATAGCATCAATTGCCTCATATCTAGAGATTTCCAGGGAATTTAAAGCAAAAGACTTGCTTAGGTCTGCTCTTTGTTTAAATGCCAATTCCACCATCTGGTTTTTTTGCCCATAAATGGATTGACACGATAGAAATTTGGAGAAGAGAATTGGAAATTTGGAGGGTAGAAACTTTCTCCCAAAACAATTTATCCATTTTTTTTTTTGCCCCTTTAACACAAATAAGCTAGTTAAACAAGTGATATTTATGTGTTTGTATAATATGGCTATAAAAAGTTGGAAGAATTGTTCCTATCAGATCTTCAGTCATTTTTATATTTACCCTGTTGCATATCATGAACTAGTGAAATAGTTAGCAACCAAAATAAGCACTAGTCTGCAAGGTCTTTGTCAATTTATACCTGACCATTGGTGTGCTGTTTTTAAGCCCAACACTAGTCTCCCCAGTGTGCGATTCAACTTGATCATGGAACCTCTGAGCCCAGTAATCCCAAATCTGTTCCCCTTCTTCTTAGTTCTAAACATCCATTCTTATAGATCAGTGGTTTTCAAATTTCCTAATGTCACAGAACCCTTTCCTATTGCTGCTTCTGTTGTGGAGCTCCTACCCCTGTCCTAAAGAATGACATGGGTCCAGGTGACCTGGCCTGGCAATGACATCACGCTGCCTTCCAGCCGGCTCTGCCATTACCCCCAATTTCTTTGTGGAAGCCAGATGACCTATCGCAAAACCCCAAGATTCTGTGGAGCACAGTTTGAAAACCACTGTTGTAGACATACTTCTGAGCACATGTGAAGCAAGGTGAGATAAAGAAAACTCCCTGTTCTTCAGAGACCAAGAACGTCCCTTCATTTTTTCACTGCTCTGCTCACTCCATTGGATTGCTTTCACTCACATTATTAACACACGTATTACTTCCTTTCATGTTATTAACACACATTTAATTTTCCGAATAGTAAATTGTTCATGGTTTTATTTTTATTATTTTATCATTATTTCATTTTTAGTAATGGATTTTTTTTTTATTATTCTTGTAAAATAGATCTGATCTGAAACTTCAAAGTAAAGTTCACATCACTATGTTTTCTTAACTTTATTCCATTCCATTTCACTGTTTTCTAGGGTTATGAAGATTGGCTTAGACATAAAGCAGACAATGCAATGAACCAGTGCCCTGTCCATTTCATTCAGCATGGCAAACTGGTTAGAAAGCAAAGCCGAAAATTAAGAGTAAGTAACAACTATTACCAAATACTTTTTAGGGGGTTAGGCTTTAGTTCCCTTCCCCCCCCCAAATTAGACAAAAATATAAGCACAAGTTTGCAGTATTCATAATATAAACATGGAAATCCAAACTAGAAAAAATTGATTACACTTGAATAAAATGTTTTAGAAAGTTTTAAAAGTCTTTCCTCGTAGCTTTGCTAGGCTCTGCACCTAGCATGTGCCTTTCATTTTCCAATTGATAACATCTATTCTTCACATCAACTTTCATTCATTGTTTGTCTTCCGTTCTCATCCACATTGTTGTTGTTTTCAGTAGGACAGCAATAAAGATGATCAAGGCAGACCCTCTTGATTCAGTTTTGAGGAACAATCCATGGATTATTTCCAATTCTTGTAAAAATGATAGAGCCCAAAATATAACTTTTCATACATTACTAACCACTGTAAAGCCTCTCTTTGGAGATGAAGGGGTTACACCTTTGTTCCCTGTGTTTATGATAATTTGGGGTTATTATCAGAATCCATGTAAATGTCTGTGAGCAAGATAACTTGGCCTTCTGATTTATTTTTCAGAACCTCACAGTTTTAGACGATTGATATTCCAAGCAAAGTGGGGAGGGTTGTTTGGGTTTTTTTATTTGTTTGCTTCTGTTTTTGTTTTAGTGCTTCCTGTGGTGTCATGACCAACTCTGAAGTTTTCTTTGAAGAGTGCCCAAGACATCCATTTGGGCATTATTATCTCTTCATTAGTCTTTTGAGTAACTTGAAAATTGAGAACATGCATATTTAATGTTAAATCTGTGGTATCAGTCTCTGCCACTGCAGTGGTGGTGGCAGTCACTGTTTCCTTAGGGCAGCAGTGACTCTGTGGCACTTGACTGCAGTAAGCAGAACCGCAGTCCCAAGCCCTAGATGGGCTACAGTTTTGCCTCTCCGCGGGCTGTTAGAGTGCCAGATGCTTTCCCTCTTTCTATCTTGAAGATAGAGAATGGAGAGCAGAGCACTATGGGATGCTGGAGGACAAAGAGACCCCCTGTAGTTCTATATGTAACTGAATAGAGATGCATACTAAAAACCAGCCCTACAAAGGAGTTTCTGTTTAAAACAGGAACATTTTGGTGATAGATCCACCATTTTTGGATCCACCATCTTTGTGGCACTACAGACAGCCTGAATGCTTTCTGTATCACTCTAAGGGAGAATATAGCAATGCACATGTAATGTGTGTCCAAGGCCTAAATTATCCCCTTTTCACTTCCTTCATCTTCCCTTTACTCCTTTTGACATAGCTGTTTTTAGGGACTAATTTACAAAAGAGGCCTTGGCAAAAAGCCCTGAGAGATATTTTGAATAAAGGAAATATGTACAGTTAACTGGCTAAAATTTTATGATCTGTTTTTATATAGGAGGTCACACCATGTAGTCCCTTCTGGCCTAAAAATATATGAACCTATGAAACTTGATCAAAATAAAAAAACAAAACCCTGAAAACAAGAAGAAAAATTAAACGATTAAAAGGAAAAATTATTTTTCATTTAGCAAATGGTACTGATGAGCTTAAATTTTTGGTTGACAGACTGCTTCTATCAGGGTTTCTATTTCTTTTATATTTTATATTCCTTATTGAATTAATCCTTGACCTTCAGTTTAGATTATTAATTCCTATTCTGGTAGGCTCTTGTCACTAGAAATTGCTACATCAGCTCAAGTAATAGGTTTTTCTTTGGCTTTAAAAAAAAAAATCCCTAATGCAGGAGTGGGCAAAATAGCGGATCTGGCCAGCAGCTGGACTCCATTTCCCAGCAGCCCCTGTGTCTTGCTGCAGATGGTTTCCATGGAGACCCCAGGAGTGATAGTGTGGGGCCAGGGTTTCCATGGAGACCAAACCCAGCAGCACTTACAGGGCGGGTGGCTGGGCAGGGAGCTGCTTCAGAGCTGGGGCTGGGATCTTGTAGTGGTCACAGCATAACGTGGAGTTAGGGCAGAGCTGTGATCCACTGCCTGTACATCCCTGCCCGGCGTGTGCAGGGGGAAGATCACAGCTCTGCCCTGGCTCTCGACCACATCATCACTGCTGCAAGATCCCAGCCGCTGACCAGCTCCCCGCCCAGCTACACGCTCAACCAGCGCTGCTGGGGCCAGTCTTCATGGAAACTCTGGCTCTGCACTGCCATGGCACAACCGCTCCTGGAGTCTCCATGGAAACTGGCCACAGTGACACAGGCAGGGGCTTCTGGGAAATGGATTCTACTGTGGGCCCAATCCAGTCCATGGGCTGGACTTTGCCTGCCTTTGCCCTAATGGCATGGCTTGTAGAGTGAACCTTGTTAGAATCACTAATAGTAAGTTCTGGTTTGTAACTCTCAAAAGTCAGGATACTCTTCATTTTCATAAACTGCCTTTGGAATTTCATTTTACAGTGTGCAGGTACATGAAGTGGCCAGCTAGAACAACCATTTGGGTTGTACTTGTTCATTCCTTAGTTTTATTGCTACAGGTATCAAGCTCATCTCCTCAGCAGAATTTAGTTCTTTGGCAGTGACTAATCAAATGAGTTTTGGAGCAGTGTTTAGCTTCAAAGATTTACTTCTAAGAGAAGTGTAAAAGACGTATTGAAGGCAATTCAAAAACTTAAGGCTCTTTGGATTCACTGATGAAAAAGAACGGTTGTAACACAGATTGTAGCCTTGTGACAACCAAGCAGAATGGAAGAAGCAAGGATTTTAGATTAATTAGACCTCAGTACAAACACAAGTATGCCTCACTGTAGCACCCTGATTTGTATGGAGATTCCTGTTTCAGGCAGTGTCATTGATGTCTCAGTTCTTTAGTAATAAAATATTTAGGAAATGGAGGACAACTTAAGGTTGACTCCTACTAGACCTCTGGCATATGTTATAATTAAGGCACCATAAATGGTAAACCTGTCACACATTAATAGCACAACAAAACAGAAAACTGGCCACAAAAATATTCCACAAAGGATGTATAATATTTTCATGGCTTATTTCCATCATATCTTAAATTGAACATGTGGCAGGGTAACCAAAGACGGCTCAAGACTCTGGTGTAGTTCCTGGCTCCAGGACCCCAATGGCGTCTTAGAATCATAGAAAATGAGGGTTGGAAGGGACCTCAGGTGGTCATCTAGTCCAACTCCCTGCTCAAAGCAGGACCAGCTCCAGCTAAATCATTCCGGCCACAGCTTTGTTGAGCTGGGCCTTAAAAACCTCCAAAGATGGAGACCACCTTGTTAGGTAACCTGTTCTAGTGCTTCACCACCTCCTAGTGAGAAAGTTTTTCCTAATATCCAGCCTAAACCTCCCTTCTGGCAATGAGAGACCCTTGTTCCTTGTTCTTTCATCTGTCACCACTGGGAACAGTCTGGCTCCATCCTATTTAGAACCCCCCTTCAGGTAGTTGAAGGCTGCTATTAAATCTCTCCTTAGTCTCTTTTCTGCAAACTAAATAAGCCTGGTTCCATCAGGCTCTCCTCATAAGTCCCAGCCCTCTAACCATTGTATTGCCTTCCACTGGAGTCTTTCCAACTTGTCCACACCCTTTCTGTATTGGGGGCTCAAAACTGGATACAGTACTCCAGATGCAGTCTCACCAGTGCAGAATATAGGGGAATCATCAATTCCCCCAATCTACTAGCAACTGGCCTACTATTGCAACCCAGTATGGTGTTGGACTTCTTGGCAAGAAAGGCACACTGCTGACTCATATCCAGCTTATTGTTCACTGTAACCCCCAAGTCCTTTTCTGCAGAACTTCTGCTTAATCAGTTGGTCCCAAGCCTGTAGCAGTGCATGGGATTGTTCTGTCCTAAAGTCTTGACCTGGCCCCAGTGTGGTCCAGGGGCTGAAACTGACAATCAGCGGGACCGCTTTCAACTTGCTGGTGCAGGAGGATGGGAGCATTATTCCAGACACCTCTTGGACTTCAGACTCCTCCAGACTCCGAGATCTGATTCCAAAAAAATGCCATTCATGCTCTGATTGTTGGAATCTGAGATCATGTCCCATTATGCCATTAAATGAATGTGTGCCAGTGGCCCTAGTGGCAGAGGGGGTTCAATTCTTTCAACTTTCTTCCAGTGATCACTACTCCTTGTTGGATTTTGTTCTTGGACTATGGACAAAAGGCCTTTTTTCTCTACTATCTCTATTTTAAGAGTACTCTTGAAGACCAAATAAGACTATATAGTATGTTTTTTGATTCTTAGTCCTCTTAGCTCTGCCATTTCAGCATCCACTTCAGTTGGTGTCATGCCTGGATATCTCTTTGAAATAAGTGATTAAATCTTACGTTTGTGAGTCTTATGGTCTGGTTTTTGGCATTATATTTTCAAAATTTTCAATACTTCCTTCTGATTAAGGATAACTTTACTTCTGAGTAGAATAGCTTTTCAATATGTGCTCTCAACAAAGATAGCAATCTTCTGATGTCAGCTATTCCATTTTTTATGTGCCTATTATCTTTCATTCTTACTTGTCTATGAATGCCGTAGTTTAATGGATTAGTTTATCTTGTGGACTGCCTTATTAATTCTCCAAAGGAGGATTTTCTACTAGTTTTTTGCTTCCTACTGTGAAGAGAGTTTGAAGGGTCTCTTTAAGCGGGTGATGTTCCAAGTCCTCCCCTAATAAACATACACATTCTGTGCATAATCTAAATTTAGTTCTTCCTGCCTTTCTGCCTCTGGACACCTTTCTGCCTTTTGTCTTTAATAGTATCTCTAATACT